ATCCTGTACCAGCTTTCAGAGCAAATTTTTGATTTACATTAATTGTAAATGTCAACAAAGTTGGGAAAAAGTTCCTGACAAACAATTCCCCAGATAAAACTGGTCATTCATATCATGGCTGCTTGAAGGACATTTCTTTGTGCAGTTTGGCTGCCGCTTTTGCCTACAAAATTCAATCACTTTGCTTTTCGGTCAATCCTGTGATGTGCTTTGAGACTTATTAATATGAAAGATTCAACATCAAATTTAAGGATTATTATTATAAATGGTGCCAAACCAGTAGAACAATGGTAACATTTAATTTAGAAAACTATCCACAACAACTCTCCTTAAGAATAAAGCATTTTTTAAAAATCCTTAAGCTACTCACAGAGCTATCTAAGCACGTCCTGTACATAGAAACATTGGAACAAGACTAGGCCATTCAGCCCTTCAAGTCTGTTCTGCCATTCTATAAGATCATCGCTGATCTGTACCTCAACTCCAATTACCCACCATTGCCCCATATCCCTGAATACCATGACCTAACAAATATCTATCCACCTCAGTCTTGAAAATTTATGATGTCCAGATTGTATTAATTTCACACCCCATTTCATGAGTGGAATTATATGCTAATAATTGCAGAACAAGTCAGCAGCTGTGTAACATCTGTTGCGAGATGTATTGCAAAGGAAAACAATTCTCATGCCTGTTCAGGGCCGAGGGTGAAAGGTCCTCCCCACCTAAACTGATTTGAATTAATTTGGACAGATTTGGAATTGTTTTCCAATCCATTGTGGTTTGAGTCCATTTCAGTCTTTGGAAATAAATCCAAACTGATGGCTCACTAGGAGTTTGAAGTTAAGCCAGGATGAGTTTCTAGATGTTAAAGTTTGTGCTGCAATGCCATTAGTTTGGCTGCGAGGTTTCAAACATGGGACTCTTTAATCCCTCACAAACAGTTTGATTAAATTTCATAATGCAGCTGCTGCCTCCTTACATTCCCAGAAAGAGGATTGTTTTCAGTATTCAAATATTTGATAATATACTTTTTAAAAAGCTTGGTCTACAGGATACACTGTCACAACACTCTACAATAATTTCCTGTGAAGAACTTGAAGACAATTCAACAAATTGATAAAGCTCTATGCCAAATGTAAACATTATTATTAATGTTATTTCAGTATTGTCAGTATTTTCCTGAAAGAATTTCAGTGTTGGAATTGTTTTCTTTCCACTTTCCCAGCAAGTTCCTCTACAGTGGTTCCCCTCATACTGTTGCCAAGGATTCAAGAGCTTGGCAATGTTGAGAAACTCTTTCCAACTCATTTCTTAATCCGCCACCCCCATCACTACCTCACTGTGATACATCAGATTTAACTCCATTTTGTAGGCAGAAGTTTGACTTGTGAATCTCACCTACTGAAGGGCTATATTTTGTGATTAGACCACTTCAATAAGCAGCATGAAATCAACTGATTCTTACAGGTGCTAGGTTTGTGTGTCCATGATGCATGCAAAAGAGCTGATATGTGACTCAGAGATTTCAATATTCTTTTAGTTGTGGCTCTACATTTTCTTAGGCTTGTTTCAAAAATAATCTGAGTGGAAGCACAAATGGGAATCAGCCATGTGTGTAGTTTTCTTAATCTCTGTTGTAGATGATGCTAAAATGGAGAATAAAATTGTGAATAAAATGCTCCCACCCCTGTCGGCTACCTACCACCACTTGGTTCTCCTCTCCCACCACCCTCGCCGACTCCTATCCCTGCTTCACCATCCCACTGCCTCTTTCTGCTCCAGACTCCGAATCCTCTGTCGGGTCCACCATGGCAGAGGCTGCTGGCTATCCAGCAGCAGTCACTCTGACTGCCCTATCCCCTATTCTCACCGCAAGGTCCATCGGTCCCCGACCACGGGACCATCCTCTCCCTCATTCACATCCACACCCTCCCTGTCAGTCCTCCCCCTCCTCCCACTCACCCCTCACATTCCGCCACTAACTGTCCCCTCCACATCAGCCTACAAAATGTCCCTCCCCCACCTTCCTTCCGACATCTCCACCCTCCTATCCTCCCTCTCCCTTTGCTCCAAACACCTCCTAATCCTAGGCGATTTCAACATTCGCTTCACCCCCTCATACTCTACCTTTGCTAACTTCTCCTACCTTATCTCCTCACTCAAAGTCTCCCTCCACATCCACTCCGACACGCACGTCTGCAGTCACCCCCTTAATCTGGTGATCACTCGGGGTCTCACCGTCTCAGACCCACAATCATCGACAAAGCGATCTCGGACCATCACTTCATCTCCCTTAACTTCTCAATCCTTCTCCCCATCACCACCCAACCCACCTCCATCTCCTACATCCCCCTCCCTCTCCACTGCCTTGGAGTCATCTGAACTCCTTGCCCCCTGGGCTCCCTCCCATAAAGACCTCTCCTCCTCGGTCACTCTCCTCCACAACTCCCTCTCCACCACTCTTAATTCCCTTGCTCCCCCCACTTCCCGAATTGTCTCCTACTCACGAGAGTCACCATGGTTCACGAGACACTTCTGCTCCCTTAGAGCACAGGTGCCACTGCACGCACCTGGCTTAAATCGAACTTAACGGTCCACCGGCAGATCTGGCTGCACCATATCAAATCTTTCTGTTCCGCCCTCGCCTCCGATAAATCCTCGTTCTACTCCAAGACAATCTTGGACACCAAGGACAACTGCAGGCTCCTCTTCTCCATCACCAACAGGCTCTTCCCGCCGATCCTCTCACGCCTCGTCCATCCTCACCTCCAATGCTAACTGCAAAGCGATGCTGGACTTCCTCGAATCCAAAGTCAGGGGATCTGCTCAGCTGCCTCTGCCCTTCCATCTACTACCCCCTCCCCATCTAGCCCTCACACCCTGGCCCCTACCCATCCCTCCCTCCACACCTTCAAACCTGTCTCCCACTCCTCTCTCTTCACCACTATAAGCCGCATGAAATCAACCACCTGCTCCCTTGACTCCATCTCTAGTCCTCTCCTTACTTCCGAGCTCCGCTTCCTTGCCCCTCTACTCCACAGACATCATAAACTTTTATGATGTCTGGGAGTAGAGGGGCAAGGAGCTGGTACCATTCCCACCCCTTTAAAAATGGTCGTCATCACTCCTCTCCTTAAAAAACGTTCCCTGGACTTATCTCTGCTCTCAAACTACCATCCCATCTCCAACCTCCCTTTCCTCTTCAAGGTCCTAGAATGAGTCATTGCTTCCCAGCTTCACTCCTTCCTCTCCCACCACTCCCTTCACAAACCCCTCCAATCGGGTTTCCGTGCCACCCACAGCACCTGGTTAAAGTGACAAATGACATTCAGTTCATCTGCCTCCTCATCCTCCTTGACCTCTCTGCTGCACTTGACACCGTTGACAACTCTATCCTCCTCCACTGCCACTCTCACCTCAACCTTCACGGTTCTGTTCTTGAATAGTTCAGATGGTTCAGATCCTCCATACCTCAGGCACTGACAGCATCACCATCCATCGATGCACACTCCACCTAACTAAGCCAGTCCGGAACCTTGGCATCTTGTTTAACCCTTTCTACCCCACATCTGTGCCATAACTCACTCTGCTTTCTCCCACCTCGGCAACATCGCCCAGCTCTGCCATGGTCTCAACCGCAGGCTGCCGAAACCCTCATACACGCATTCATAACATCGAGGCTTGACTATGCAAACTCATTGCTTGTCGGCCTCCCCAACTTCTCCCTGCATAGGGGGCAGATCATCCAGATCTCTGCAGCTTGTGTCCTATCCAGCACCAGGCTCCGTGACCTCGCCCGATTCCATTGGCTTCCCATCACACAGAGGATATAGTTCAAAATCTTGGTCCTCACCTTCAAAGCCCTCTGTGGCATCACTTCCTCCTCCCTCTGCAACCTCCTAACCCCCTACCATCCCTCCGCTCAGCGGGCTCCGGCCTGCTTCATGTGCCCCACCTCGTCCACCCCACCATTGGTGGGTGGGCCCTTTGACACTCTGCCCACTCTCTGGAACTCCATCCCACAGTCCCTCCACCTTATCCCCTCCCTTGCTTCCTTCAAGATCCATCTCAAGACCCTCCTGTTTGACACTGCTTTCGATCACCCTCCCCAATCCTGACCCCCAGCTTGGGTCCAAAATACTGACTGTCCAACGCCTTGGGACGTCCTCCTGATGTGAAAGGCACTATACAAATGTAATTTTGTTGTTGTTGTTGTATTTGATACAGCGCTTTAACACATCATTGAGACATATCAAAGAGCTTGACAGGATTTACTGTAAAGTGTAGTGACTATATTTGTAGACAAATGCGGCAGCCAATTTACACACACCATTGCCCAACATACAGCCATGTTTTGGGTTAGAATACCAGGAGATATTACCTTCTCTTTTTGAATAGTGCCATGGGATCTTCAACAGACACCTGAACAGGCACATATGGGACTAGGTTTAACATCTCATCTGAAAGACAGCTCCCCGAATGTATTGAATGATTGAGAAGACCGTTTGTTCAGGTTGTTTGTGCTTCTACAGTGCACACATCGCTTACAGAAAAGGATACGGTATAATGGGATCCATTTAATTAGAGCTGATTTCACTATTCCACTAAATTAAAATTAAAGGATTAATGCCATCCAGATGACAGCCTTCTATCGGCAAGGGGAATTGAAGCAGCTTTTGCTGGATGATCAGAAAAGGCGTAGCCACCTTTGTTCAGTCACAGAATGTCTGTAATCTGATAATATAGCTGGGCATCACAGAAGCCACATGTAGTGGCTGAATTAAATTTAGATCCATCAAATCCATCAGAGATGTTTAAGCTTAACCCCTGACCGAAAGATCAGACGAATTTCAGATTTAATTTTGTATCTGTCTAGTTTGTTATTTTTTTTAGCGGTAGGAAAACAGGCATTGAGCCTTCAGTGCTCTGTTTGCTTTAACTTTGGAGTTGATCATGTATGCGTGGTGTGTCTAATGCCTTCTTCACCCTGTGTGCAGGCAGTGAAGCTGACTTCAGTTCCTCCAGCAGCACTGGTAGCATTTCTGCACCTGAAGGTCTTATGTCCAATACAGGCAGCAAGCGGAGCTCAGCCTCCCGGAGGTAGGACATACTTTCCTCTTAACTACTCACTCACACAATGATGAACAAGGCTTTGGATGTTGTCCAACATAGGGGTGGTGGGGGCTGAGATCTGAACTCGGTCTGTCCAGCACCTTGCGATTCTTCCCGACATGAAAGACGTTATACAAATGTAATTTTGTTGTTGTTGTTTTGTTGTTGTAGTGTGAGAAATTCCACCTGGTTTTTATTTCCTCTTATTAATGTAAGCATCCTGAATTTAGCTAATTCTTAAACTTCGCCTGTTTTTCTATTTAAGTTTCTTTTCAAATACAGAAATAATAGTTTCAAAATTAAAACTGCGTTTAAGAATTTTTCCAAATTAGGAATGCTCTGAAATGCTACTTAACTGGAGTAACCCCAGATGGTATTTCTCCCCCACAGTGTAATTGATCTAAACCTAAATTGCACATTATTTTCACTTACCAAACGGTTGTTATGTTAATGAGGGTGCTGCAGAATTCGTAAATGTAACAGAGGAGGAGGTGAGTGAATGCTCGTGTGTGTCTCCATTGTCTCTTGTTTGCCATAATATGTGTTTTAAAACTGTTATTAGAGGCAACCTGAGAGCAGAGAATGTATTGAGCTTCCCATGATAAATGAGAGTAAAATAAAATGACAGTATGCAATTTACTTAAGTACCGTTGCATTAACAGTAGAAAGGGGCTGAAGTCTATGGGCAGCACTCGCCCCCCCTCCCCTCCACCCCCCATGTCTTCACTGGAGCTGTAAATGCTGTCAGCCCTTTTCAGCTCCCCAGCCACGGAGGAATAAATTATTGTAATTGTTTCATTTTGAATAGGCCACCATTTCCGGCATTTCTGGGTTAAGGCCACTTTCAAGCCTTAATAACAAATAAATTATAATTCTTGCATTCGATATAGCTCCTTTCACATCAGCAGGCCTTCTCAAAGAACTTCATTGGAATTTACTGTTAACTATAATGACTATTTGTAGGCATAATGCAACACATAGCAATGTCCCACAAACATCCATGAAGTGAATTACCAGTTTTATCTGGGGGATTGTTGACCAGGACACCAGGAGAAACTCCCTTTTCTTTTTGAATAGGGCCCTAGGATCTTTAACCAACCTGAACAAGCAGGCAGGACCTTGGTTTAACGTCTCTTCAAGGATGGCACTTCCAACAATGCAGTACTGAATTGGAGTGTCAGCGTACAGTATGAGTTTAAAATTTGTTGGTAGATTTAAAATACTCAACTGGCAATAATTTACAACCTTGTCTGCAGGAGTGCAGCCACGCTGGGCAATGCTAGTTTCCAGTCGGTTTAAACTTTAAAGTCTAAAATACCCTTGCATTTAGAAAAATCTGTCTTAATTCACAGCTTCTCTATTTTTGCTTCTGTCCCTCACAAGCACTCTTTGAGAATTACAGCCTTAATTCTTCTGCAATCAAATCACAAACACCAGGATTACGGCTTTGTTTTATTTTAAGTATAATGTACTTATGCACATGTCTTCATATTTCTGTTTTATTTCTATGACAACGGAAGAGTCAGCAACTGATGCTGGACTGGAATGGGGGGAGGAGCAGGGGTAGAAATACACAGCTAACTCTCCAGTATGCAAATAACTAAGTAATGTGAGCTGAGATTCTCTCTGAAATACAACCAGATCTAGAGGTAATGATTGCTCACTCTGCTACGTTTACTCAGTCTTCCCAGACTGTGGGACACTTTCCTGGGATCAGTGCCTATTGTCTGGCTAATTGAAACCCTTAAATAGCAATTCATAATCTTTGCAATTGATATAGCATCTTACCGCATCGTTGAACATATCAACGCGTTTCACAGGATGTACTGTAACGTGTAGTGACTCTATAATAATAATAATCCTTGCATTTGATATAGCGCTTTTCACATCTTCTAGACGTCCCAAAGAGCTTCACAGAATATACTGTAAAGTGAATTGACTGTATATTTGTGGGCAAACGCAGCAGCCAATTGCGCACAGCAATGTCCCACAAACAGTTGTCGATTGAGTGTCCAAATTATTATTTTTTAAGGATTATTATGAATATGGCAGCCAATTAGCACACAACAATGTGCCACACATTTCACAATGTCAGCCTGGCACACTTGGCACTCTTGCCTTTGAGGCAGAAGATTGCAGGTTTAAGCCCCACAGTCAAGGCTGATGTTGAACCAATAATTATAATAATACTCCATTGCATTTGATTTAGTGCTCTTCACTCTATTTGTGGGCGAAACGTGGCAGCCAATTGTGCACAGCAGTGTCCCACAAACAGTTGTCGATTGAGTGACCAAAATATTATTGTCCTGCATGAAAGCTGCAATATAAATGCAAGTTGTCATTGTTTAAAACTCAAATCAGGTTGACTGAGATTTAAAATACCACAAATTCTCATAGCACTCCTTAATTAAGGACCCCAAGCTGGACCTCTTGGTAACCAGAAGTACATCACTCCCAGGCATTCTGCTCCAGTTGTATATGAAGGTGTTGCGAGTCCCCCTGAGTTCTAGGATATTGCATTCCGGTGTGTTAGAGCTTGTTATTGACTCTCAGTGCCGTGACCCACTGCAGTGGGATGTTAGTTGCTGCTCTCTGCTGCCAGTCAGTAATTGTGCACAAAAACTGGATTGATATTTTTTATCCTCCTAGATTAATGTTTAGAATATTTACTCACAGCTGAGGCCTTACTCACGGATCTTGATGTACTCCAAACACACTAATTGGATTACAGCCTTGTAATCTACTCCTCACTATCCAATATCCTCCACACAGTATATTGATAGAGTAATTTCTTGACAGTGGATGTTACATCGACAAAAACAGTGTCTGCTTATGACATTGAATCCTTCTTTTAATAAGATAATAATAACCCTTGCTTTGATCTAATGCCTTTCACATCAGGAGAATGCCTCAAAGCACTTCATATGATTTATTGTAGTGACTGAGTATTTTGTAGGCAAACTTAAACGTAGGACTAAGGCAAAATGGAATCAAAAGCAGCTCCCAGAAACTGCAGTGGTATAAATCTATTTTAGAGTCTAGAAAACAGTAGTAGCTTGATCTAATTATTTCTCAAATTTATCTTAAAAATGTTTTACTTTCAGTACTGGTCACTTCATTTAGTTATCATCAGAAGAGCACCAAACATCGCATTCTTCCAGATGAGATGGTAATACATCTTCATATTACTGTAATCAGTTGTTTCTTAAAGGAGTCCAGGCCTCAACCACCCTTCCTAGAAATAGGATGGTAAAGCTTGTTGCATCTCCTTTCCATGCGCCTTACACTTGTTTTCACTTATCTCCCCTTTGTGGAATCAAGGATCCTCTGTAATGTCTGGGAGACAGATGTTCTATTGAACTGCACATGTTCTGTTGCTTCCAGCAGGGAAATTTCCATTGCATACACCAGGTAGCCAACATTGATTGTAATTAATATATAAATCCTTTAGCTTTCTCTTGAAAGCAGTCAATTCTGCTTATCTCTGGGAGCAACGGTCTCAAAAAACTATCTGCCAGTTTCTCCATAAAAGACATCAATATGCCATTCAATAGCTGTATGCACCACACGCACCTCTTCTCCTCCATACCTTTTGCCATCAGATTGTCTGTACTACTTCACTGTTTTCATCAGATGTCTGTCTCTTGGTCTATACAGAGGAGTTCTTCTACTAACACTGGTTCCACAGGTAGGAAAACAATGTGTGTGTGTACGAAGTACATTGTGAACTATCATGAATTTTGTCCTTCCGAAATGTATGATTTTAGCATTGAAAAAGACATTGCTTCAGACATGCATCTAACTTGGTCAACAGTGCAATGAATAGTCCTGTTTTTGTCAAATTGCCAGCCGTGGTGTGTACGGAAGAAGTAATGCTTCCAGTGGCCATAAACAGCCAGGGAGCCCAATTATTCCACGGGAGAAGGATACTGTTTTGAGCGTCTATCGAAATACAGCCGGTATCCGGGATACCTATGGAGCTTCGTCTCGCAGTAGCAGCAGTAACTCCGGTTCATACAAGGGCAGTGACAGCAGCCCAACCATCAGGTATGTTATCTCCAACAGACATTTATGTAGGAATACAACAATGGCAACAACAACTTGCAAATTTTATAGGGCCCTTCATATAGGATAATGTCTCGATACCAGGTATACAATAGATCCAATATAATATTTATAATCCTTGCACTTGATACAGCACCTTATCGTCAAGACATCTCACCAAGCATTCACAGGATATACTGTAAAGTGGAGTGACTGTGTATTTTGTGAGTGAAGAGCGCTATATAATAGCAGGTATACAAGAACCACTTACAAACACACACACATTCACACACACTAACACACACCCTCAGTCATACGCATTCACACACAGGCACTCAAATCACTCTCACAACCAATCATACACATATACCTTTTCTCATGAAATTGTCTGTATTTTTTTNGCTGTGCGTAAGTGAAGGGCCGTACCAACTGAGTCTGGTTAAGTTTTATTTTGCCCTGTTAAAAATTAGGAGTGTATATTCTGTACTTTGAGTGCAACTGATTCCACAAAGCCTGATCAAAGGTTTGAATACTTGAGCAGCCAACTTCAAGCAAAGATTTGACTAAGTGATAGTATTTAACAATTACTCATTTCTTAAGTGAATGGTACTTTATTTTACAGTATGCTTTATTTTAATGTTGTATATACTGCGAATGTTACTTTGCGAATAAAATGTAAGATATTTCAGCTCGCCCCCTCTTCTACCCCCACTCCAAAAGATGATGTGTTCCCATTTCTTTGCCAGGAATGTTAGCCTGGAATAGTGCTTCTGGCTTCCTGCTGTAGAATGCAGGCTGCCCGACCACACATTAATGATTGTGTTCCCAGTGGGCAGTCCACTGTTGTATCTGACCCTGGTTAATCTTGAGTGCTGCAGAACTAACCATCTGAGGATGAAACATATTATATGATTGTAAACTGAATGAAAAAGAACAATTGAGAAGATTAGTTTAAGGTGAAGGTAAATGTAATCTTCAGTAAAACGATTTATGTAAATACTCTTTGTGCTTGGAATTTGAGATTAACTGGGTTTACTGCCCTATTTCAGGGGGTAAAATAATTGTTGAGACGTACGTACATGGTACCAGGGAAGAGGATTGATGCTAAAACAATCATGGTAAACTCCTGAATTGCAAATGACTTTAGTTACTGCCATTACTCCCATTAGATAACCTGATGTACTTTTTCAATATTTCTGGCTCATTCACCTCTAGAAACTCAGCTAAGTCTTTGTTGGTGTATAGGTACCAGCTATGGGTGTCAGCTATCTTATGGTACCTCTCCTTCCTAGGGAGGGAGGTAATTAGAAGTTGAACAGGGTACAAGGTGAGATGTTTGGCAATGGAATGGCAGAATTGAGTCAACACGTTGTGGTGGTCTCAGTAGTCTAGTTTCTGAGCTAGAACTGTACTAGCTGTCCCAAGTACTGCAGGACACTGCTGATGACAGCCGAGCCTACCTGGCTCATTGGCAGGACTTGGAGGGACAGAAAGGTCACTGGGAGAGGGAATCTTCCCACTCAGTGTTGGGTGGTGCTAACTAGACATCAGCAGGAAGTTTGCCAGTCAATGCTCTCAATGACAAGCTTTGTGGTTTTAGCTGGTTAAACTCCAGCCTTGGTTCTTGCCAATCTTCAGACTGAGCACAGATTGGCATTTAAGCCTGTAGCCTCTCCAGTAGTCTTTGTGCTATACTGTGTCTTACTGATCAGGCCAGCAAGGATCACAAAATAGATTTTTGTAAAACTAGAAAACAGTTGGAAATGTGAAAGAAAATTGTCTCAGTAGCTTGAGCAGGCAACGCACATTGAAAACAATCGTAAAGAAAACCTATGTTCTGAATATGTCTGTGGGATAGGGGACATTTATAAACAACCGATCAAAGTGATGTTAATATAATAATCTTTGTATTTGATAGCACCTAATCACATCATTGAAACATTTCCAAGCACAGGATTACTGTAAAGTGTAGCGACTATATTTTGTAGACAATGTAGCAGACCATTTGTACACAACAGTGTTCCACAAATGAATGATTAATTGCACCTGTAAAGTGAAATGACTGTGTATTTTCTAGGCAAAGTGCAGCAATTTTGATGCACAATTATAACGGGGGAATCCCATTAGAGGTTGACATTATTACAGAACACAACCAGAATTTCAGCCCCTATGAAATTTTTTGTTTGTGCAAGAGAGAGAAAAAATTCTGTTCCCTTAAAAAAACGTTCTGTGTGCATATATAAATAAAGGATGATGCATTTTGTTTACGACTGCAAGGAGCTTGCTCTCATGAATCATCATGAATCCCTGGGTAGATTTTGAAAGGTAGCATCAAATGGAAATTATTGACTGGTCGGAAATGCTTTTAATTAAACTATGCGAAAAACGAGTCATTCTCCTCCCAATACATGCCCTCTTTCTCGTTCTTGCTCTCTCTTTCTATGTATGACACAGCCCCAGACTTTCTGTCAGACAGGCAGATGCTATAGTTTTCTCACATTTCCCCGAGCATCCCCTCTTCCCCAGCAGAGTCATGTTTTCTGCATTTAGATCAAAGTGCTGAGATCAAAAGATTTAATCTCAATGATTCCATGGCAATTTATCTATTCATTCTCAGGTTTTCTTAAGAATTAATTAATTAAATTGATTCTAAGATTTTCTCTTCACTTCAGCAACCAGCACTAGATCTTTAATGATTTTATACAATGTATCTTCCATAGATTCAAAGGCAAAACTACATAAACTCCTATGAAGTGATTTGTTTTGATGGTCCAGACTACGGGATGTGCGTCTCCCAAGCTATCATTCATCCATTATTCAGCAGAACCCAGAAAGCACATACTGTGTATCGTTTCTGTTCAGTCAGGCCTTTCAACCACTGAAAATAGCTCATATGAGAGAGAAAGTGACGCATGCCTCACTGTTTAAAAATAACAGTAGTTTTACATAAGGTGCAGTGTGAAGAAAGTCAGAAAAGTTTGAATGAGTAGCTGGAAGAAAATCAGAACATAGCATAGGTCCATAACTGCTGGGCTGAGACTCACTTGCTATTCACCAGCACTAATGACCTTTTTGTTCTATGCTTATTAAAGGAAATCCCTTGAGTCTTTTGGCTGGAAGTAATACCTCTTTCTAGTCCTGGCTATATCAGAAAATCATCACAAAGATTATATTTTTAACAGTGATGTTTTTTTCCATTCCCATCAAAATCCAATTTGTTTTGGTAGTTGGGAAAATTCCAAAGTTTCTCAAACAAATGAATATCTGGTATAATTTAAGCTTGTCTGCACCTCTTGACCTTGTGTAAGTAATACAGGATATGTATTTGACTGAGAAAGTTGGATGAGATAAGAAACAAACAGCTCTCCAAAAATATAGGGGTAGTAATTCCACCTGAGCAATTACTTCGCAACCACATCACTCCCACCCTCGTTCGCCTCCACTGGCTCCCCATCCCCCAGAGGATCGAATTCAAGATGCTCATCCTCACCTACAAGGCCATTCACGGCCTTGCTCCCTCCTACCTCTCCGACCTACCATCCCCTACTTACCTGCCCGTACCTCCGTTCCTCTGGCTCCGGTCTGCTCCACATCCCCCGCCCTAACCACCCTACCATTGGTGGCCGGACCTTCAGCCTCTCAGCCCCTAGGCTCTGGAACGCCTTTGCCTTGCTTCCTCCCTTTCCTCCTTCAAGGCCGGTCTCAAGACCTTTCTCTTCGACCGTGCCTTCAGCTTCCCTCTCGACTCTCTACCCCCTCCTCGCTCCCTCCCTCCTCTCCCCTCACCCTGACCATTTACCCCCTGCTTGGGTCCCGACCCAACTGTCCAGCGCCTTGGGACGTCCTCCCGATGTGAAAGGCGCTCTATAAATGAAATCTTGTTGTTGTTGTACTCTATTAATGTAGCATTTCAAAGCATCTAGAATTTTACAAATTCTTAAAAGAATCTTCATTTCAAAGGCATTTTTTTGCAAGTCTCTTTTAAGATCTACAGAAAACTGACTTCAAAATTAAGGCTGAATTCAACAATTTGACAATTTCAGAACATGCTAAAATACTATATTAATAAAAAATAAACCCACAGCCAGCAGTAATGAACCTGAACTAGAACCAGGTGGAATTTCTTCCCTGTTGCAAAATGATTGCTGTCTTTTTGTGTCAATTTCCCTTTCTCTTAAAAGTATTTAAGATCATTAGGTTCCAGCTGAGACACCATCTGGTACCTGGCCCAACAGGTCATTCGCCATGTGTGAGTCTCTACAGTACAGGGCTGTAACTCTGCTTTTGGTCCTTCACATGGTTCTGAGTGGAGCAGTATCACAGCAGTTGTTGGTGCATATTCATACCAAGATTGAAACACCTGCACCTCAAGATCTGAGGATTCAGATCCACAAATCTCTATAAGTAGCTATACATAGCTATGCCCATAGAAAGTGCCGTTGGGGTTCTGGGCTTTATATCCAGAGACATAGAGTATAAAAGTGAGGAGGTAATGCCAGGGCTGGCAGATTTTACTATTATGAGGATAATCTGCAAAAGTCTTTTTCAACAACAGATTGCATTTGTATAATTACCTTTCATGCCGGGAGGACTTCCCAAGGCACTGAACAGCACCCAAGCTGGGGGTTGGAATCACAAAGAGTAGAGAGCAAGGTGGGGTGGAGATGGGAGGATGACCGAAAGCATGGTCAAACACATGAAAAACGACATTTAAGGGGGGATCTAATAGAGGTGTTTAAAATTATAAAAGAGTTTGATGAAGTTAGCATAAATAGGCTGTACCTAGTTGTTGAGGAGTCTGTAACCAGGGGAAACAAGCATAAGATGATGACTAGGGAATCTAAAAATAAATCTAGAATAAATATTTTCACGCAGTGTGAATTTAGAGTCTGGTGGTTGAAGCAGATAGTGCACATGCATTTAAGCTAGAAATACATCATGAGGGAGAGGGGAATACAAGGGTATGGGAGGGAGTTAGGAGTGCATGAGCCTTGTGTGGAGTA